AGTTTACAGGGCGCCTATTTAGACTCATTCCTTTGAGCTAATTACTACAAGTTGCAAGTTAGCTGTCAGTTCCGGGAAGCAGCGCATACATAAGGGCAAGATGATGGGCGGTGAAACCAGAGAAATCAAAGCTCGTATAGGGAATCACCGCTGATTAACTGGAATGTTTCAGGAAGCCTCGTTGGAGAAGATGCCACCCCTTGTTCATCTAATGAACCGATCGATGTGGTCAGTTTATCGCAACATAACGAGGTAACTTTGAGAACTCTATGTCTGACTATATTTACAATCTTGTTCGCTGCGGATCCCGGGACGTTTTAATAGGCTCGGTGTCGCGCAGCGTCCAGCCCATTCTCCACGAACTGTGGAGGGTGGCAGGCGACCATAAATGGTGGAAAACGGGCTGGCACCGCGCTGAACCCAGCCTCCTCCCCGTGACATGCCCCAGCATCCACAGCGAGCAAGACTAATCAAATCCTACAACACAAAATCATCACTCTTTAAAATTTTTTTAGAAACGTACCCGCGTTGATGGCCGTGATCGGCAAGGTCGAAACTCTTTGGCGCAGTTATGCAGACGTTTCCTTATGGTGCTACTGAGCAACCCGGTAAACTCATTGTTCTTTCTAATGTATAGAATTTTATACACCTCTCTTGATGTGAGAAAAATTGGTGCTGTTCGCCTTGGGTCCGTTCGAAAGACTCCTTGTGCAAAACTGTTGCCATTTTGAGGAAGAGCTCCGGGGTGAGCGAACTACTTCCACGTACTCTCCCCTGCGACCAAAGGGGATTTTGGCGTCATAACAGAGTTTCAGTTTTGCGAAGGGATTTTCGCACCACAACAATCAGTTCATCATGAAGTGCTTTTGATGCTCTCCCCTCCAAGGCGAACGGCTTCCAAACATTACGTTAAAGTGATAATTGGAACCTGTTCTAGAAAAATACGAGACGTGTAAGTTTGGATGTGGCGAGCACAGTGCTTATCAAGGATCCCGAGACGGAAGGATTTGAGCCGCCTAGTCGAAGTAAGCTGCCATCTTATCTGTTTTCCCCATAGTCTTCCAATCAGGCAGAAAAAAATCCAAAAAAAAACTCAAAATAACCACGCCGAAATGCTCCTTCCGGTATCCGCACAACAGTGCTCTTCGCATTTTGTAGCGCCAACTGTAAGAAAAGAGGAGCTGCTGATGGTGAGATCGTCACGTCATCGGCATGTCAGAGCCACGCGTTGAGGGTCCGTTAGGAAAGGGTCGTTTTTGGTCGTTCTGAAGGGAGGGAAGGTGTAGCAAAAAGAAGATCCTGAGAGAAAGTCGGATTTTGCTCAGTTCCTCCCCAACAGCGAGACGTACCCTTTCTCATGCACATAAAAATTACCTTGTCTAGAAAGGCCTCTTTTTCAAACTGTTAGCGCTAGGCAGTGAGGGTGAAGCATGAGTACAGCGCTACGGGCGCTCATGGGCTAAAGGCGCGATTGTGAGGGTTTTTGCGAAAGTCAAAAGTAGGATTTGTGCCCCCCCCCCTACTGAGACGAGAGATTAGCTAGTAAATAGCACCTCCACTTTCCACACTAATTTTCATTCAGTGCCTTTCTCCTCCTATCCTCGTATTTTAAACTTCTCCTATTCTAAGGTGATAAAATCTCGCTAAGCTAATCTGCACATGTCTGAGGCGTGGTAGGAGTGGCTGCGTACTTCAAACGTGGAGCCACGCCCCGCACTTCAGGAATCTGGAACTACAGGGGGGGGGCAAAAAAGTCACTTCGACCGAGTCACATATCAGCAAAGTTTTCGCAGCCCAGACAGAGGACGTGGATACGAGTACCAGGGCGGAAGATACCCAAGATGTTCCTCTATAAGCAGGAGCTGGCTCTCGCCCATCACCTTCATGTACACCAAAATATGAAGTCATCTCCAGTCGCAGCCTGACTGGAGAAGACCTTTGGAATTCATGTCACCTCCAAACAGCTGCGAAACTTGGAGTCACCCATGGATAGCTACCTGGAGACCAGTACTCTCGATCTGGAAGACCTCCAACATCGAGCAGCTCCGACAACGTCGCTACGGTCTAGGACATCATCTTCACCGGAATGGAAAGACCGATATTTTCTTCGTGGACCCCGGACTGAAGGTGAGCGCTGGCGGTTACATCGAGCAACTCGAGAAGAATATCCTCCCTACATGTCGTCGCCCGTACCTTCTTGGAAACTTTGTACTGCTACAGGTTTGGGTGCCACCACATGGAATCGAAGGGCGTTGGAGAATTCAAATAAGTGTAACTTATAGCGCCTCGAAAGTC